TGTTTTAGAGGCAGGGCTTCATCAACACCCAAATGTGATTTTAAGAATCAGAAAGCAAGAAAAACAATTCAGCACAAATTCAGCAAAAGGCTCTTAACTAACCAGGTGCCATCATTTAGCTGTACGTAGATGTGTGTGTTCATGTGAAAGTCAAGCTTCACACCATAGCTCTCACATATGTAATAGAAAAATTATAATGAGCTACCCGCTGCCTTTTTTCCTGCACTGCTTAACAAATGTCAAATTTGAGCAGCCATGCAAGTTAAATTGGAAAAAAAAAAACACACAAAAACAACAACAATTATGAAAGGGCAGCTTTTTTTTCACATAAAGCATTTAAAATAACACACAGTTCCAGATTGTTTTCTCTGTTTGATGATGCAAAGATAAAACATTTTTTTGTTTTCCGTGCAATCCAAATCCAAACATGCAGTTAACATCAGGCAATGTGTGTTTAGCAACCATCCAAGAAGATTAATTTAACACAAAAAAAACAAGCCCTGTGTTAGACTGCACATGGAGGGAAACGGCTCCAGCGCAGTAGCCTCGCTGAAGGGACAAAATTGCTCTGCTAATCTTTTTGGCCGTTAAGCTGTTTTCACAGAATAATCCTAAATGAAATGAGAAACAAACTCACAGGCTCTTTTCCATCCATGGCCTCCATCCACAACTTCCTGTCTCCCTCCGAAAGAGCTTGGAAAGTGACTGGCGTGTTTCTATGGAAACAGAAACAAATGACATTAAAAAGGCAAAGGTTGCAATTTAATCCTTCAGTTAAAAGGGTGTACTGTTCTAGTTTAGGGGGGGTTTTGAAACACTCGTACACATCATACACATTCTCTTAGCAATTGAGGAGAGACAAAGTGTCTTTAAAGTAGCTGATTAAATCGCATGTGGCAGCGATGGGAACAAATTGAGATAAATAAGACAAGCATAAAGAGATGATGAAAACCCACTGCTGCAATCTGTCCTCTGCAGAAGTAACAAAATCCAGTGCCAGAATTTACAGCTTGTAGGCTACTGAATCAATTGTTAACCAAAACAACTGTGCAATGAGTTTAAAAGCTTGTTCTGCCAATTATGCTAATCAAGCAAACCCAAAAAACTCTTCCAAAATTCAAAATCCATTTTAATGATCATTATTCAACACAAGGCTGTGCAAGGGAGTTTTGAAATAATCCCTTTATTACCCACTACTTAGAATTTTAAATTTTAAAATTAATGCATCAATACAGTAACAATAATAATAATAATAATAATAATAATAATAATAATAATAATAATAATAATGATGATGATGATGATCGTACAGTATAACTTCTTATATATTTTCACAGCTGAGTGGATAAAAAGGAAATTTAACTTTTAGAAGCAAAGACTCATTGTTGATTTTGACCAGTTTTCCAATTTTTTTTTCTCGTAGGTCAGTAATCTGTATTCAGGTTAGCATTAATAAGATACTTTTAAGTCTTATTGACCACTCAAAGCACTTTTAAACTACAAGCCACATTCACCCATTGACACTGCGGTTTATTCCACTGCTGGAATTTATAATGGACCATAATTTCATGCAAAATGTGAATTTTTAAACAGTGCTAACCCGGGTGCACAGGCAGCACACTCACTCTGTTACTGAGTGCTATTACTTGAGGCTAGGAGCACTGTGGAGAGTTACTCGTGGGTCTAATTATATGATGCAAAGATTAATATAAGACAGCAATTAATAACCTACAACCAACTCTCCTGAGTAGGTTAAACATCACGGCACACAATATTTTGCTCCTGTGCTGGACTTTTGAGTGCAGGTGGGCTCTGGCGGCTCCTCTGACAGGAACCAATTGAGCCAAAGGTGAGGCGTTAGATGAGGCTTGCAGGTGTTTTCCCAATTACAGAATAATTTGTGCTAGAAAGTTTGGAAGAATACGTCTAAACTGAGATCTCTGTTCTTCCATAGAAACATCAACACGAGTGAGCCAAATGCTGACTTTTCTGAAAAAACAAATGTAACAGAAATCAGAAGTGCATGAAACCAAAAGCATAACAGGCACACGGTTGTGCCAAATATTTGATTTTTTTTCTCACCAGTGCCGAAGGGGAGATGATTTATTGCCTTGGTATTGTGGTTTTACTTTACTGTGAATCCAGAATGTTAACAAAATGCTATGATTTAAATAAGGCTGCAGAGAACTAGTTTAGTCTACGCATAAAATTTTCTCTCACACATTCACACGCACACAGTTTGGGTTTATTTCGAATTCAACATCTTGCCCATGTATACTTTGTAATGCGTCTCATAGGACTGGGATCAAACCAGGAATCTTGTGGATAACCTCTAATACCTGAAACAGAGCCGTCCCTAAATCTAGACCAGCTAATTAAACGGCAATTTGTAATTTTAACAAATAAACAAGCAGGTACTAAATTGTCAGAGGATATGAGAGACCTGTAACAATCTTCACTTTTAATTCATTTCCACTAAGGTCAAAGGTTAGAGCCGGTTACCTTTCAGGCCCATTTGTGCAGGCTTTTCTTTGCCTGAACTCACAGCATTAGCTCCTACATTAGACAGCACTGCCACCTTGAGTTGCTCAAACAGCCGACTCCTGGTTATATTCAGTTAAAAAATTGATTCAGCATTCAGAGCAATGTATAATTCAAGCTGCTTTTAAACCTTTTTTTAAAAAAAGAAAACCCAAATATTTTTACCGATTTCACGACACAAACCTGTTGTGTGACAGAAATCCCTGTGGCTTATGAGGCTATTAAAATGCATGTTGTCCTGACTGGCCTGCTTATATAAATATGAGCCTGTTGTGTTCTGTCCTCGGAAAGTTTGCCATCTGTTTCCAGCTCTTTGCTTAGGGATTGTTTGGGCTACACTCCATTAAGCCTTCACATCATGTCCTTGTAAACCACCTGTTCACCTCGCTGCCTGAATCTGTTTATCCCATAAGGCTTTTGTCTCACAGTTTCTCAGCTTGTTTGCACTAACCTCTCGATGGTTTCCACGTCAAAGCAAAAGCGCTTATCTATGGATTCTGTCTTCCGGCGGATGCAGGATTTCAGTGTGAGCTGTATGGGGCCCTTCAGGTGAGGACAGAGAGTTGGAAAGTAATCAGTAAACATGCTGGAGACAACAATATAAGAGAAAGTCTTCTGAGGAAATTTGGTGTTTGCTGAAGGTGGGTCAGCACCTGTTTAGTCGTAGTCTTCTGTTCACAAGGTACCATGACTAGCACTCTCCCCTCTTTCTGATACTTACAATAATATTTGACCCATGTCATACCCAGAGCCCCTGGAGGAATAGAAAGCAGTTTTTTTAAAAAGAGCCTACAGAAACAACTAGATTCCACATAAATATATAGCAACCCACTTACGCTTCTCCTGACAGTACAAATAACCCTTCATTGGAAAATTGTGCATTTTATAGATCTGGGAAGGCCGTTTCATCCTTTTCATTAGCTCCTCCAACTCCTCACAAGTGCTTTCATAGTGGTTTCTTGTCTGCAGGCAAAACCGGAAAGTACTTAAAACAATGTATATGATTTGAGGAAAGTGAATTTTGCTGATGGCATTGTCGGTAACAGTGCTTACGTTCTGCAAGCTTAGCTGCAGTTCCTGCTTGTAAGGCATGAAGTCCTGAGTCATCTCCACTGTCAGGTTGTTAAGTGTTAAAATGCTGTGAAGAAACGCCAGCACCTGTCCAACGAGTGTATGCATTACATCATCTTACAACAAGAGTCAAAGCAAACAACGCATGAATGACACCAGGAATATTTCCTCAATGTTTTGTTATGTGCGTGGAAGCACAAAAACCGCACTCACCGGCTCCACCACGTCAAACTTCTTCCTGTCCTGAACCTGGTGTATCTGGTATACGTACTCGACTGAAGATTCATAGAAGTTTGCGCGCTCTTTATCTAGTAGTTCATCAGCCTATTGAAAATTCAACAAAAATATCATCTTTTTAAAAAATGGTTCTCACCTCTATATTTCCCTACCCAAGTGATGCAAAGTATTTGTTGTACTTCAACTAACCTCTTGAAGCTGAGTCTCTCTCTTCTTGGCAGAGAGATTCAAGTGTTTGTCTAATTGGGAGTAATATTTTTCACTCTCTTTATCAAACTTCTTTTTCTTTTCCTGCAAAACAGATTGTAGAAAAAGATTATTTATTATTAGAGACCACCAAACTCCAGTGTGCAGGTCAGTACTGCCTTTTGCATTGCATTCACAGTTCCAAAGTCACCTTTGCAAGTCAAATTATGTAACAGAGAACTTTTACAAATCACCTGTTTGCATGTTTCTTTCTTTTTGTTGTAGAATTGTGGCTTATAAATTTGAAAATGCATATAGCTGATAACACACCATCTTGAATCTGCTGCTAATAGCTATCTGCTATCAGTCAGGCTCAGGCTAATGCTAAAACCTATAGATTATATCTCAATATTAAAATGCCAGTACTTGTCAACTGTCAGCTGTAACATCTAAAAATAAATGTGTTTTGACTGTATTTACATGAAAAGTTAGCAAGCGAGCTGAGAATATTAAAAAGATAGCTAAAAGTAGCAAAATACAAAAAAAAAAAACACTAGCTAAACTGATAATATACAAATAATAAAATAAACATTATGCAACGGTTTAGGTACAGTAGTAGGAATAAATCCTTAAACGTTCAAGCTTCATGAAGCTCAAAAAATATAACTTAACCAACATTTGCTACAGTAGCGAGCTAAAAGTAATCAAAAATGGTACAGCTAACAGTTTTCTTGTAAGTGCTCACTAAATGATAAATGACTAGACAATAAAAAAGTACAATGAGTACAAATACAGACAGAAACGTGAAAACTTAAAAATGTAAACACTGTAAAATATCAAAGACCAGATTCAATAGCTATATTGTAACGTTAGTGGATGCAAATTTGTATGACATACCCTGTGATAGAGTCGCTTTAATATTAATAGCTACAACTAATTGTTCCCTGTATTGCTTTATCAGTCTCTCATGTCATAGTAGACTAATTTTGGCCCACCCTTTTTTACAACATTGCTTCGGTTCACTGAGGCATGTAGGCATTTATTTACTTACAGCTCTCAGCCGCTGCTACACCTCGATCCTTTTCTTTGTGGATTTGCTGCTGTGCTCTAGCCCTTTCTCTTGTTGTATGTTACAATTTGGCCTAAGTTTTAGCTACTGGATTGACTGCTGACAATTTGACTCTAGAATACTTTGATATATAGAGAAGTTCATAGTTGAGTCAATAAGTGAAAATTTCCCAGGTCCAGTGGCTACACAACAAGCTCAAATCTCCACCCAGACAAGACCCTTTGGTCTTGTCTGTCCAAGGGACATTGCTATGGAAGTCTTTTGGTTTCTCCAGATGCAACTTTGCAAACCTACGCTGTGCTACCATGTTCTTTTTAGAAAGAAGAGACTTTCTCCTGACAAGCCTTCCAAACAAGAAATATTTATTCAGTATTTTTAATTTTTTATTTTGTAATTGTGCAGCCAAGAACTTTAACATTTAACATGTCCAACAAGTAGCAAAGTGCCAAACCGATGCTCAGTTTGATTAGCAGCACCTGGATGTTACTCATTCATAATTCTTATGGAAACTGTAAAGGTGGGCTTAGTTTTTCTCAGTACTGACTGTAGATAAATTAATATAATTTTTGACCATTTTGTCTGTTTGTATACCTTAAGAATATGTACCCTGATTTTATTAAGCAGTACATCAATAAGGGCAGGGCTTTGCTATATTTAATAATTAGAATCATTAAAGAACCGTAAACAAGAGTTATGCAATACAACAACTCTGAAGGTATTTTTAATAAAAATGTATTTTCAGAGTTGTCTCATAAAGACATATTTAACTAAATCTAAATACAGAAGCAAGATTTCCATGAAACAGATGCTTGATGAGAATATTTTAAATATGAGACTCCCAAACGTCATTTTGAATAATCACAATATAAAATCCTAACTTTAATGATATCACCTTAGAACGAAATAAAGAAATTTGTCGAGCTGCTCTCAACTACAGAGTGCACGCACTAAAAACACCTGCAATATCCTGTTTTTAAGAGAGACGACAGGTTATTGTGCTTCAAAAATAGTTTATACACAAATACGGGGAAGTACCTTATAACATCCTGTCTGGTCTTTGTGGGAAGCAGAGGGAGGTTATATATACTTTAATGACCTGACTGTCCATGTAGAGAAGCACATTTTGAAGCTACTGAAGTAGATCGAGTGCTTCCAGTGCCATTTACAGGAATGAGCCGTGATGTCACTTACAGGGCAGGGTAAACAAAGAACTTACTTTTGTTACTCCTATTTGCTCCTTTCTGAACTTCTCCAAGGGCTTGATGAGTAGATCTGATGCATTCTGAACCTGGACACGAAAACAACAAACCGTTACTGACGGCTCCTAAGCATACCGTGTTTGTAGATTCACTTTCTAACATAATGTAAAGAGTTTTGAATTTTTTAAAAAATCTATGCATTTTAAAAAAAAAAAAAAAAAAACAAAACATCACAGTTCTGAGCACCTGCTGCAAGTTTAATTAGCAAGATGACCTTTGGTTTTAGATTTACATCTCTATCTGGAGAATCCAGTCAAACACAAACTGCTTCTCCCATTGTAATAACCTGCCTGCCTTAATTACTTGGAGAATAATAAAGTGTGTGAATCAGCAAAAACTGAGGTGACAAAACTTGCATCAAAATTTCTACCAACAGCAGGCCAATATGTAACCATAAACAAAAAGAGAAGAAGAAACCCAAGAGGGGAACTGATACCAAAATACCACTTCACAGTGCTTGCATGCAGCCACACCTTTACACAACTGACATGTCTTGTGTGACAAAATTAACACATTAAAGATGGCATCACAGCAAAAAAAGAAACAGAATGCATTAGTGGTTTCCTTTAAAGCAGTATCACTTTTCGCGCAGGATAGATTAATGCGGTGTCCGATATCCAGCAAGAGTTCAAGCAGCATGCACAGCATGCACAGTCAGCATGGAGGAAGTTGATAACCCACCAGCATCATCCTGTCGTGCTCCACTTCCTGCAGAAGTCCGGCAAACTCCTGGAATGACTGCGCTGGGGAGGAAAGCACCAAAAGAGGATAACTTTGCATGGTGTTATCGAAACTGGCTGAGTCAGAGGACATATTAGGAAAGCAGCAGATGACACTTGCTCAGAACTTTACAAAACTCACTTTATGATTTATGCTCATAGAATTTCCACCTATCTTTATGCACATTTTCCATCGAGCTCCGAGGCAGGATATAGTGGAGCACACAAAGCCTTACGTTTCCTCATATCTAAATTCTGAGGCATTATCAGCCGACAGCCAAAAGTGCTGTACTTTCCACCGCGTTCAAGCGGAGAAACTCAAATGTAGAAGAACTACAATAAATTTGAATATTTCTGGCCACGTATTTACTCTGACTGCTTAAAACCTCAAGCACAATCCAAGGCAGTGCGCCTTTATCACTCTTACCAATGTTAATCTCATCATCCGTCAGCGAATCGCCGATGAAGTCGAACTGGAACACACTGAGAGTCTGGGAAAACTTCTGCACTGCCAATGAGTATCCTGAAAAAGAGAGAAAATAACAACACGAAGCGTGATCTGTAATTAACGACAAGTTACATACACTGCTTTTAAATTCAGTCCAGTTCTCATGAATCTAAGCACAGGCCGAGATTATTAGAAGTTGGTGTTTCATTTTTCCCCTAGTAGGAAACCGTAAAGTATGAAAGACATCCTTGGCAGGATTCCGCAGCGGCGTAGCAGCCAGTATGTGGTTGATAACGCAATGCATTATCCCCGTCATGCCTGGCTTTTACTATCAAAACAAAACAGAGCCCTTCACATCACTGCTGTAGAGTATTTAGTCCAGGGAACTTGGCTAGTTGTATCTAGCCTCATAGTTTTTTCAGTGGAACAATCGTTTAATGTTCTTTCCATCAGCCAATTGTGCCCCCCCCCCCCATTTCTTCTTGTGCTTTAGCTCTAAAGAAATCATATTTGATGACAATCAGTGCTGAGGCTGAAAAAGCATTAAAGGACGTGAGCATTCTGATGAGCAGGATGACGTGAACATTGAAAAAAGTTTGGGGGGGGGGGGGGGTGTTTGTGTTGCTTTTCATGGACTTTGTCCCACCAACTCGTGACCTCTGACTATTATCTGGATTTACTATTGGACCCTCGCCGCCCCCCAGCACCACTACAGTACCTACAATGACAGTTTCTGTTTTCGAGGTGAACAGCTTTGCCATTCAGGATTTCCACAGCAGTATCTTGGTGAATCAAACAAAACAAACAATGTCACCCCCAGTGGGTGCCACGCTGACCCAAATATACGCATGTACAGTTCTGCGTCTGCGTGGCGTCCCTGGCTCTGACCCATACTATCAGTGGGAATGGTCCCACCTAAACATGAGCGCACAGAGAAGTGGAGAGGCGACGCACGGACTGATGCAAGCCCTCCAAAAAGGAGACAGCTGTTCGGGAACAATAGTGCTGGTCATCCTGCACATCTGCAGCTCTGTGGCCTCTCAGTTCAAAGCTCTTTCTCCCTTTTTATGGCTTTTCCCTGGAGAGCAATAACAACTCCCTGAATGCTCCTCTCCCACATAAATACACACTTTATCCTGCAGGCCTACGTAAAATAACGGAGGGGAGGGGGGCACTGATGCTGATCCGTTGGCATCAGAGCCCTAAATCTACATGCAAATCGCAAAAAAGAGCAATCTAACTAAGCATGCTCACCCTTGATTGCAGTGATCACACTATTCCCGTCTTTGATCACTTCTTTGAGGAATTTGTTTGTCCTCTCCAGCTCCAACTCGTAGCACTTGAGAGTCTCTCTGAAATCCGGACTGTCCAGATAGCAGTCGCTGAACTCCAGCGGAGGATGAACCATCTTGTGCGCCGCTCGACTTTATAACACAATAGAAACACTGAGTCCGCTTTCCACAGAGGCGCTGCCTACGCTCGTCCGTGGCAAACACAGCTCATTTCTGTTCACTTGAAGCTACTCCACACATTCCGCTCCGAGGTTCGGAAACCATCGTGTCCGTGGGAGCCTGCGGCAACGGATGGTTACAAATGAACTGATCGAAACAGTGAATTCCCGCAGCCTAGGCTCACTTCACTCTTTTACTCGTCCGCGCTGCTAATGCTTCGGTTTAATTGTATCCTGGTGCCCTGACCACTTTTTTGCTCCTTACCGTGTCGTAATTAAAAGAGCGGCTACGATCCCTCTGACCGCGTCCCATTCCAAAATTCACACTTAAATGACGCCTCACTGTTCTTCCTTAAATAAGCTTTCCATCGCTAAAATTAAAACCCGCTCTTACCAACCCCTCAAGGTAGTGAGTATATGTTCTCAGTGAGTATATTTTCTACTTCAAGCGATATTATAAACATATCTGAGTCCAATATCCTTACTAAAAGTCAATGACAAAGCGCAATGGAGCGTACCCAGCTGGCAACAGAAACACAAAAAACTCCCCTTTTCCACACCCAGGAGGTTCTTAAAGGGCTCGCCGGACACTTTGAGTAATTTGTTTGCCATGGATGCTGCGTTTAGGTGCAGTCGGAAAACACAGTTACACTTCCAGACAGACGGATAGGGTGTGCTCCTGCAGTCAGGGTTAAGTACAAGAATTTTGCTTGTGCAAGCAGATTCACGGCACTTAGCTTACACTGAGGTGTTACCGTGACAGCAGTCAGAGAACTTATTTAAATCCCACGCTGGAAAAAAAATGTACATGCTGCCCTTTCTGTTTACGGCATACAGAGAGCAACATAAGTCAAATTCCTTGTTTGTGTGCACAAACTTGGTTAAATAAAGACGATTCTGATTCTGTAGTAAAGACTGTGCCTAAATATGCCAGTCTCAGCATTTCCTTGGTTACTTGTTACTGCAACTGCTCTGAATCACTATAATCACTTTGGTTATATGTGCAGACATGTTTCTGTCAGAAGATGCCTGAGCTGAGGAGTTAGAGGCTAGAGCGAGATTGCCGCACAAATTGCTTCAAGGGCACTCTCGCAATCTAGAGTGTAACAGGACTGAGCTAATGTACAAATCTAGGGAACTTCTACTTTATATTTCCCCCTGCAACTTTATTCTTTTACTCCAGCACACTTCAGAGGAAAACACTGAACATTTAATCTCCCTGCTTTTACCTAACAGCCACCGTTTTTGGAACAAATCCATTATGTATGTATGTATGTATGTATGTATGTATTATTGTAGAGTAAAAATCAAAGAATATTTTTAAATTTGATTGGAATTTGATTTTATCTTTGACTGCCTGAGAATAAGAATAAAAGAATCAGATAATGATTCTGATGATGATCATTCATAAATATAAAGAAATCATCGGCAGCTTTCAATGGCACAGATTTCTTACAAAATTGTCTTGTTCTCGTTATTCATACATTGTTGTAATAATTTTGAAACAAAAAACACTCTGCGAGGCTGTCACGTTAGACACAGTATATTGTTTATTTCTTCAGATCAAACTAATTGTCCTGGCAGTTAAAAAAACAAATACTCAGCAGATGAATGAGCCGTATACAGTACACAGTACAATGCTCTGCTTTTTATGTTTACTTTTTTACATTAACGTTTAAGATATAACAATCTAATGTTATAATGTTTAACAACGCAAAGGCCCAATTGCCTAAAATTAATTTTCAATTTTTGAAATGTTGAGGCATTATTTTTCATTTACTAAACTAAATGATCCTGTGTCATTGCTTACGTGTTAATTATTAATCCTGCTGCACTAACTCTTAAAGACCTGTAGATGTCAGCCTCCAGATTCAAGTGAAGCAAGCTTGCTAATGCACACATGCACAATTTCAGTGCTTTGTTACATTAAACCCTACAGTTGCATTACAAGTACACAGAATTTAGTGTCTGCGTCTTTGGGGCTTGATCGGTTTTGCTTGATGTGCAGTTCAGCTGAGTCACAGCCTGTGTTTCTAATGTCAACACCGGGAGTCTTTGTAGAGGTTACAAGACAGCATCGTGAAATCTCTCTGCAGCTGCGTGGAAATGAAAAACCACTTAAATCAACAGTACAGTAGTCAAATGAGCTTGCAAAGAAAAGCATCTGGACTTCTTTAAGTTGCTTAAGACGTTTCACCTCTCATCCGAGAAGCTTCTTCAGTTCTAAAGTCAAATGGTGGGGAGTCCCAGATTTAAACCTAGTGGGAGTATCCCCCCACAGAGGGACAAAAGGACCCCCTGATGATCCTCTAATCGCCTGAGCCAAGGTGTGAAACTGGGTGTGGGTCCCAATCAGCCAGGGTTTCGCGTGAGCTCATTGTAAAACCTGGCCCCACCTTATCATGCGAATTCCTTAAAGAAGTCCAGACGCTTTTCTTTGCAAGTTCCGAGGACCTGGATGACTGAGAACCTTCACAGACATACAACAGTACAGTAGAACCGAGTTATTTATAATATGTGCAAAGGATCCGTTCATGATGACTGTCTCCTGCTTTGTGAAATGAACACAGACCATGTAACATCTGGTTGGAATCAAGGTCCATGAAATTAATAGTAGCGTATTGATCCTTTGAGTGTGGTCCGAACGCCAGATATAGCTAACTAAAATGAAAACAACAGCTAGACTTTTGAAGGAAATTTCTGAAACCATTTTGTAAATATATATATGGTGTCTGCAAAACAGCGAGACAGCTGCTTTCAAAAAGTTGTGTTTTTTAATGTAATACTTCTGCTGATTTTCCTAATTATGCATGCCCTTCATACAATAATAATTAAAAAGAACATTTTAAACAAGAAAAACTAAACTGAAACATGAACCCCCCCGGAAATGAACTGAATCTGAAGTGACTTAAAAACAAAAAGTCAAAAGGCTGTACATATTTCAAGTTTTGTGAGTTTTAGGAGTCACAGTACTTTCAACAGTATATTGTAAAGGGGAAAAAACTACTACTTATGGGATATATTAATATGCCTCAAAAATATGTGTCAGAAATTGCACCTTTATAGATTTCCTGACACTAAAAAAGGTCAAATGAAAGTTCAGAGTAAAGGTTAGAAAGGAAAAGGAGATTTAACGTAATAAAGAAAACATGTTAAATTTGATGCAGTTTTAATTGGATGCATGGCACAGGTAGACTGGCCATTGGAAAATTGAAAACTACATCGATTCGGGTGACTTTTACTAGAATTCAAGGGTTAAAGTTTATTTTTGCCAGTTTAAGCATCATTTCAACATTCCCATAGTCTTTCCCTTGGTGCCAAGGTTTTTAAAGATGTCACTCACCCACAGTTTCTCTCATACTATGACACAGAAATGCAGATACATGACAATACATTTCTCTTTGTTTGTTTTAGTTATCATAGCCAACTAAATGGTCCTAACACTGACAAATGATGACAAGTGATGTCATGAAACATAACCGCTGTCTCACTAATGATTAAAAACAACTATAAACTAGTAAAAATGACTGAATATAATAATGAATAGTTTGTCATATTCAAACCAGCTCTTTTGGATTTTAACTGAGACAAGAAGTGAGCTCAAAAAGTTACTCAGTTCGAAAAGTTGCCAGTTTTTGCCCCATCTGTGAAAACGCCTCAAACTGGATTCAGTTTCCCTTGAGTACACAGTAAACGCAGTCATTGGCTGGTTCAATCAGTGGTTGAGCATTAGGATGTAAAGGTCGAGAAGAAACACTAGATGAGAGTCTGATTCTCAGGATAACAAACCCTTGTCCTCTTATCTTTAGATTTTGAGTCTCATTCTTTGTTGAAGACCTTTATGTTACACTCCATATTACGTCAAAACCGTCCCCCACTTCCTCTGCTCAGCAGCATACTGAGGACAACATGACAGACCACAGTCCCCACACAGATTCTTCAGCTGGGCAGAAATTAAAACGTTTGATCTGAATTCTGAAGCTGTTTGTTTGCGCTGCCTAAATGGGGCTATTGTATGCAAATTCTTTGCACAGAGGCATATGACCTCCCCAGTGCAGGGCAGTGGCTAGTGTGAGGGAAATCATTAGCAATGCAAAGTCATGGTGCTCTGATACTCTTGTTCACAGTCAAAGACTGGAAAAAAAAAACATCTGATCTGGTGATGCTAACTTAAATGTTTCTGGATGCACTTTATTTGAAAGCAGAGCTAAGGTAAGTTCATTTTATTGATGACTTTGTTCCTACATCATGTGGCTGCGCGGATGGACAGTTTAAATAGTTTCTTTTCAGCGTGTTCATTTATTCTGTGCTCATTGACAGATCATGCTTAGCTGTTAATGTCACTTCACACTATATTCACAAGATATGATTAGGATAAAAAAGAACATGAGACTCTTTTCCAAACATGTTCTTTTTGAGAGTTCGTCCGAGAAATGATGATCACACAACATTATTTATTTGCAGTCCTTGTTAGTTATTTCTATCTGCCTGATCAGTGAATTGTGTTAAAACCTTCTAAGCTAAGAAGCAGACGAGTCCTTCTATGTAACTTATCAATGTCCTTTAGGAGCACAAATGATTTTCCTGCCGGTGAGTGGCGACTATCCAAGAGTCTGTTAATCCAGCTACAGTTGCTCATTTTGCATGCAACACCAAGGGTACTGGTGAAAGCATGTCACATGACACATGGTGCCAGACCTCAGTATTGCACTCTTAAGTGGGCTGCCAGCTGCAGAGGGGGGCAGAGAGGCTTTTTTCCTTCTCTGGACTCACATCCATGCCAAACCAGCGGGTCAACATTGTCCTCCACGCTGCCTCCTATGCCTCTTACACCTCCAGCTGAGCCCGGTAACAACTCCAACATTTACTCTAGACTCAGACATAACAGAGCAATCAGTAATGATCAACACCAAGGGGATCAAACATGCTACAATTTAAGCCTAAGAAGAATCATAGGCGTAAAAAAAAAACAAAAGCTGTGATGTACTCATTACTATTAATTTACCAAGTCCAGCCGAAGTGTGGCTGCACCATGTGTTCTGATTTAAGTCAAGTGTGCAGGTTGCTATTATTTAAAGTGAATAAGTAAGACAGTATTGTGTTTATTAAGTTTTAAGTTTGCTGTTGAAAAGTGAAACTGAAGTTCTCCTTTGTGTCTGACTTTGACATTCAGGAGAACTTTGAAAGAATTTTTAGAGAGTTATATTTCCTGCCTTTTTAATCTAAAGTATTTTTTTTCTTGTTCTAAGTTTGATGCATAGATCATTTTCATGTGCATAATCTTTTACATAATATTTCCTGATCATTTTCAAGCAATAGTTTTAACTTAAGTGTCACTCTAACACCTTCAGAAAGAGCTGGTGCATGATGATGTGTGCAAATTGTTTTCTCATAATCCATATATATTCAGTTTTATGTCACAGAAGGCAATAAGTACAAACAATCCTCACAGCAGAAACTGGGGGGAGATTTTCTGCTTTTAGAAAAAAAAAAAAGCCTAAAGCGCTTTTTCACTCAGAAAATTAACCGAATAATGGATCAAATCATTTATTCCGTGAAGC